GCTCCCGACTAACTGGTACTTTATAAGCAAGATCATCTAGTAGAATATCAAAGTATGCTGACTGATCGGTTCCAGACAATTTTAAGAATTTTTTGAAGCATCCATAGTGAGAACTGCTAAACCCGTAGCAGCAGTTTCTACAAGGAAATATAGTGAGAGTCGTATGAAGCATATTAAACATAAATATAATGTCAATACCTGAAGGAGACGCTTTATAAACTAAATGATTTAAAAGATATAAAGATAAAATAGGTGATATATTAAAAACAACTAAAAAATACGTTTAAAGGTACCTGATTTAAAAATCAAACCTTCACTTTCAATTCCTCTTAAGGGTTCATTAAAAAGTCTAACTTTGACAAAATTATTACCCATTTTCACATAATATTTTTCTCCGTACTCATTAAATGTGCTATCAATAATACTTATATTGACAACCCTTCCACCATTACTAAGTTTACAGAACTCAGAGTTTGCTGAAACTCTCAGCCTAATGCTGTGGTCAGAGGCTTTGTAGATAGTGATGTTGCCAGTTGACAAATAAACGGGCAAAAAGAAATTGACACTTATTTTGGTCGTTGATAAATCGACACTAGAATTAATGGGCGGGGTAACATTGGCAATCATAGCATTACCATAAATATCATAATTTCTAACTAAATAGATATAATAACGAATGGAAAATAAGTAATTATAGAATATTTATGAGTATTTTGGTTATGGTCTATGTTTATAATTTTAATTCTATCAATTTATAAATTAACTTTATACCCACAAACTAAATGCGAATGAAATAATAAATAGTAAATGTTAAATAAGTAAGTATTTATGAATAATAAAGAGTATTCATGAATATACATTGGTGTTCATGATTTATTCTATCGATTTATAAATAACCTTTATACTTACCATCTAAATTAATGCGAATGAAATAGTGAATAGTAAATAAGCATTTATAAATTTATGAATAAGTTTTATACAGTATTCATGATTTAATTTCATCGATTTATAAATAATCTTTATACTTACAGTCTAAATTAATGCGAATTAAATAATGAATGATAAGTATTTATAATTTATGAATAAGGAGGGTTTTATTTATGAATAAGTATTTAAATTCATGATTTAATTCATCGATTTATAAATAATCTTATATTCACCGACTAAATTAATGCGAATGTAATAATGAATTTATAAATAAGGAGTATAAGTTTATTTATTAATAAGTATTTATATTGATAATTTAATTCCATCGATTTATAAATAATCTTTATACTCACCGGCTAAATTAATGCGAAATAATGAATAGTAAAAAGTAAATATTTATGAATTTATGAATACGTCGATTTATAAATCATCTTTATACTCACTGTCTAAATTAATGCAAATAAAATAATAAATGTTAAATAAGTATTTATAAAGTTATGAATAAGTATTTAGATTTATAAATAATCTTTATACTTACTGTCTAAATTAATGCGAATGAAATAATTAGCATTTATGAATTTATGAATAGGTGTTTATATTCATGATTTAATTCTATTGATTTATAATCATCTTTATACTCACTGCCTAAATTAATGCGAATGAAAATAATGAATAGTAAATAAGTATTTATAAATTTATGAATAAGTATTTATATTCATGATTTAATTTCATCGATTTATAATTATCTTTATGCTCACTGTCTAAATTAATGTGAATGAAATAATAAATAAGCATTTATGAATTTACAAATAGAAAAGAGTATCATTTATGAATAAGTATTTATAAACATACAATCTGGTATTTGTAACTGAACAGCAAGCCAAGACCAAGATGTACTTTTGCTATTTGTATCTCGCAGAGAGAATAAAATAGTATTATTATTTTTCAAGATGCCATGTGCGCTAATTCCAGTTGTATTAAAATATGTTAAATTAACCATCGAATAATGCACGTCATAAATATAAATAAAATAAGTGGTATCAACTACAGCAGAAAATACGTATCCGCCAACAGGTGTCGAAGACACACACACCCCAGGGCCCCAGGGCACACTAGTTTCGTTGGGAGTGTGAAGTAATTTCCGGGATCCTATAGTACGTCCTGAACAAAACGTAATTTCTTCATAGTTCACTGTGTTGTTGTAGTCGATAGAAGCAACACAATAGTAATAAAATCCAAAATATGTATTACAATGAATCGCTTTAATTTTCATATTAGGTCTAATTATTTGAAAAAGAGGAATAGAATTGTCTGTGGCATTGACATTGTAAGTTTTGTTGTAGGATATAAATCTAGCATACAATCCGCCTAATTGGCTCATAAAATCGATTTCGCGTGAATATTTGGCATACAATATTACATAACCTTCATCAGCAGTGGACAATGACGTAAAAAGGGTAACATTGTCAGATTGAGTTTCGTCAATGTAATAATCTTGGTCTTGTAAATATAATAATGTTCCATTTTCATCACTATAATTAATTACAATGATTTCATTGATTAAATGAAAAACAAAAAAAAATAAGATTATTAGAGAGATTAAATTACACTGAATAATGATTGATTGCGATACCGTTGGTGCCATTCTTGTAGGCACAAAGAAATCCTAGTTCCTTGTTTATGTTGATTTCAATTAAAATTTGAGTGTCATAAGGTGATCCAAAAGATATTAGGCTGGTAATTTTAAATTATAAATAATAATGTTGACAGTTAGTTAATTATTAAAAATATTTAAGTATTTCGTAATATAAATTATCATCGGACCTTAGTTTTTTGCCGTCCCAATTAAGAACAGTTCCCCAATATTCATAATAGCGAGAATTTGTGTCATTTATCAAATAACTCACTAATATAAATGGTTTTTTTAAGGGTCGTATTAAAATAGGATTCACCATTTTGCCAGTAAGTGTGTTATTAAATAAGCAATAATTCACAGAATCAAGATTTAAATCAGTATTAATTTCAGTGACGGATCCATTCAAATGGATAAGTCTTATACGTAATATGGGTTCAAAACAAGATGAATTCATTGGATCATCTCTAACAAGGTGGATGAGAGTTGTTCCGTCATCATAAAATTGAATGTCACTTGCATAAGGTTGCGATTGAGAGAATCTAGGATTTTGTATACTCTCTGTATAGGTAAAAAGGTTTGTATATGTAGTGTTTGGTGTAATGTTCAATTTCGAATCCGTTGATATTGATATAATGAGAAAGTTAAGCAATATAAAAAATAGGCATGATATGACAAGGCTACTTGTTTTCATGGTGAATCATTTAATGAAAATTTTACGCAGCAAGCTAGAGTACGTACGTAAGTACGTTGCAAGAAATTTAAAAGCCTCAATCACTCTGTATAGAGATAATGTAAAATAGCACATCGAAAATAAATTTCTTAAATTATCATCGATTCAATAAAGTGAAGATCCTACATTTGCATAAAAATAATACACTAATATGCACATATTAACAACTATTTTATACATATAAATTGACTGGTTGAGTTGAACGCCACATAATTGCTTATTATAATTTTATTGTCAATACTTAAGGAAAAATTAAAGCTAAAAATAAAATTGGGGTAAAGTTTTTGAGTTGCGGAACATTTTTATTTAAATAGTATGATTTTGAACAAAGAAATCACCACTTTTTCCACTGGCGTGACAAATGATTTAGACTCGCATTTT